TATGTACACAATACATATATATCCTATCCCATCCTATCTTATACCAAACACATTATTTCATCCTCATAGGATTGCAACTCACCCTGACCTTACTCAGTTATTTCCCGTGGGAGGGAAGGAATGTTCCCTGCACACACCTGCACACAGGTCGCCAGCCACCTCTAACAATGCCTCTAAGTCCTAGTGGAAGTTTATCAGCCAGGCACAGAGAGGCAGGAGGACTGTGAGTTTAAGACTGGCCTAGGCTACACCGCAAGACTGAAAAAAAAAAAGTCTTGCAAAATATAAAATTCCTATAAAGGAATATATGAAACTTACCATTCAATAAAATATTATAAGATAAACAGCCATGCAGCAGGGGAAAAAAGCCTACACCCAGAGGAAGAAACAGAATACTTATCAACCATGGAATATTGCTGGAGATAATTGGCAGTTCTAAAGCACAGTAAGGTTGTTAAGAACATGAGTTGGTGTAGGAATCAGATGGCCTGTGATTGAGTCCTGGCTTAGCAGATAACTGGAGGAAATGATGGAACCTTCTGCGCTTTAGTCTTCCAATGCCTACGGTGAGGAAAACAATAGTAGTCTGTCAGTTTTGTGAAGGCCAAAGTGTAAAGCTCGCTTTGCAGACGGCCCAGTGCCCGGTGACGGCGGCTGTTATTAATTATTCTTCTCCATGAGGCTCCAAGCGCTGACACTCATGCACTTGTCTGTCATCTCTTTGTTTCACCAGGACCCCTCCCAGGAGGATCTTGCTTCATACACAAGCATTGAGAAGCTTGTGGCTTACACACCTAGAGCAGGCACCCCGTGAGAAACTGCCCCACACATTCTTCCATAAATGTGTCCAAGGAAGCTGCCTTATGTGGATAGGGTGCCTCCCTCCTTGTTACTAGTTGGGCATAACAGCCACCCGAAAGCCGACTCCAAATTGAGATGCCCTTAACAAACACCAGACATTGAATCGATTCACTAGACTGGCACAGGAGAGTGGAAATATTTTAATCTTGCCTTCTAAACCCTGTAAACCGTGGTACTAGTGATCTTGAAGAGAATTGTGCTGGCTTCCTAATGGCAGGTGGCAGGGATTCAGCAGGTCCCTTGGGTTCAGGACTATTGGTTAGGTGTTATTCAACAATAGCTTATGAATGTGTAATGTGATACAGCGACCTATCAAATTTATCGAGACTCATTTAATGCCTCAGAATATAGTTATGTTTTGGGGCACATGCTCTCCTAGACTATAGCAGTGTTCTAATCTTATTTATTTTTTATTTTTCATGCAATGCTAAGCATAGAGGGCCTTGTGAATTCTAGTAAGCATCCCATCGCTGAGATATATACTTGGCCTGCTTTTACTCTCTACAAATTATATTTATCTTGTCTACATGTGTGCCCACACTCATGTCATGGCTTGTGTGGAAGTCAGAGGTCAACTTGTGGGAGCTGGTTCTCACTTTTCATGACAAGGGACCCAAGGCTTCATCTCAGGTTGTCAGACTTGGTGACAAGGAGGGTACATTGCAAGTTTCAGGCTATCCTGAGTAGCTCAAGACGATACTATTTAGTATGCCTTCAGCGTGGTGAAGATTTTTACAGTTTTCTTTTCGTTTTGAGTCAGGGTTTCTCTATGTACCCCTGGCTGTCCTAGAGCTCCATCTGTAAACTAGGTTGGCCTTGAACTCAGAGATCCACCTGCCTTTGCCTCCTGAGTGCTGTGATCAAAGGTGTTAACTGCCTCACAAAAAGGAAGAAAAGTTGTTCTTAGATCTTTTTCTCAAAAAATAATTTTATGTGTATAAGTGTTTTGTTTGTATGTGTGCCTGTGTATCGCATGCCTGGTGTCCACAGAGACCAAAAGAGGCATTGGATGCTTTGAGACCAGAGTTACAAGCAGTTGTGAGCATCACATAGGTGTTAGGAATCCAGTCCAGATCCTGTAGAAGAACAGCTGGTATTTCTAACCACTGAGCAATCCTCGAACACTTGTTTTTAAGTTCTAATGATTTGGAAAAAAAAAATCTACTTATGGATCCCCTAATAAAAACAATTACTTTGTTTCTGGGTAAAGTGAATTTTAATTGAATAATGTTCGAGAGTGGATAATACTATAATACAATGGTGAGTTACTAAAAAGGATTATTTGGTTAAAAAACTGCTTTATGATTATAATGATTATATAAGTGATTAAATAGAGCATGGTTTCCTTTAGCATCCAACCTGTTTTTGTTTTAGTATTGAGGAATGATGTGTTTAAGGCTGGACTTTCAATCACTACCTAATAGATACACACACACACACACACACACACACACAGAGGCTTAGACATTTCCATGTTATAATAATTGTTTGGAAAGTTAAACTGAATCAAATGAAAATAGTATATAGTATTTTTAACAGAAAACATATGAAGTTGAGATTTTTTACGGCTAAAATGATCAACTATTGCCAATTTCATAGGGCTCAATTTATTTTTTTAATTTTACATTCATAATCAGTAGTAAGTGGAAGGCAAGTTTCATCACAATAGGGGTCTTGTCACTGGTGAGCACAGTTAGTATTTAGGAAAATAGTTACTGGCTGGAAATGTAGTTCAGTGGCAGAACATGTTCTTGGGCATGGGCAAGGCTCTTGGTTCAGTCTCCATCTCTGAAAGACAGGTAAGTGGGGGAACCAGGAGAAGGAAGAGGAGCGGGAAGAAGGGAGGGGAAGGAAAAGGATGAGGAAGAGGAAGAAGCAGTCTTCTTGAATGAGTGATGTGGACAAGGGAATGGTAGGGTGTGGTGCAGCTCTAAGACAGCACTTGGGAATGGAAGCAGGAGGACTGTAAATAAATGGGAAGAACCGACCTTCTTCCAAACACAAGGTACCTTTTTGTTTAAGTTTAGGTGGGGATAAGAACAAATAATATCATATACATGTTACCGTCTTGAAATGATAAACATTTCTTTTTATTTATTTAAAAGCTCACTCAAGAGTTTTGGAAATGTATGTTCACAGTAAAACTTATGCATGGATGTTCACAAACAGTGCTGGTTATAATAGCCCCAAAAGGAAATACAACGTCAGTTTCCAACAGCTGGTAAAAGGATAAATACAATGTGGTATATCCATGCAAGGGGATAGTAATCATAAGTAAGAGTCAACATGAATAGCTATGATGAGGCTGTGCTAAGTAAAAGACACTGAGGTCACAGATTATATTATCTATCCATATAAAATGTCCAGAGTGGGCAAGTCAACAAAGATAGGAAACACATTGGGAGGTAGAGCCAGGAGGATCTCTGTGAGTTCTAGGCCAGCCTGGTCTACAAAGTGAGTTCCAGGACAGCCAGGACTACAGAGAGAAACCCTTTCTCAAAAATACTAAAAACAAACAAGCCAAAAACCCATAAAACCGATTAACAGTGTCAGGAGACAGGAAGGGGGATCGAGGGAACAGAAATGACTACTGATAGGTATTGGGTATTTTTTTTTATGTTCTGGAATTAGAACATGGGGGCAGTGGTTATACAACCTTGTGACTGCAAAAAAATATTATGTACACACTTTAATTTTTAATATTTTAATTAAAACATGTAAGTGTGTAGCTAATTTACTTGCCTGCTTATGTATCACTTGTGTGCCTACTGCCCAAGGAAGCCAGAGGAGGGTGTCATACTCCCCAGGACTGCAGTTATAGCTGTTTGAGAGCCACTCTGTGGTGCAGGAAATTGAACAAAAGTCCAATAGAAAAGCAGCCACTGCTTTTTGCCACTGACCCATCTTTCTAGCTCTCGAGTGTACACTTTACAAGGACAGGTTTTTGGTATGTGAACCAAGGCCAAGGGCCCCCAAACCTCCTATGATGTCCTCTCCAGAGCAGGGCAAAATATATAATAGATAGGTGTTTACAAAGGATGGAGTATTAGGAAATGTTCCCTTGTTTAATTATAATCTGGGTTGGAATGTTTGGAGATTTTAGCAATCTGACAGCTAACATGAAGAGGATTAACACGACTTCCTTACTGTTAATGTCAATTTAATCTGCATCATTCAAAAACTACAGTCACACTGAAATAATTATAGCAATGACTTCATGAAAAATTACTAATCAGATTAAGAATCTATTAAGGCTGTCATCACTTAAATTTTTACTTCCTGAAGTCCTGAATTGTGCCTAAAGTTCTCATGCAAAGGTGGCTCACACCTCTGGCTACATACTCAAAGGCAGAAAAGAGGATGGGATAGGATGGGGATTTGTTAGCAATGATGACATTCAGGATTGGAACACAAAAGGAAGCAGGACTTACGAAATCTAAACCCTCATCTTCAATGCAGGCAGTTAAATAACAAGAACTAAAATCTCTACATCGTACCGTACAATTAATAAGAAACACAATACACACGCATTGCCATACACAAGTCTGCATAGTTACACGCAGAGTATGAGTAAACAAACAAACAAACAAAAGTATAGCACATAACAGCCAGAAAGGTTTTGTTTTGGAGTTAAAAAAAATACTACTGAGACGGCTTTAAATCCTTTTAAGAGTAGACTCGATCACCCTTTGACCTGGTGTTTATGCGTGCAGAAACGACACACCTACAGTAGTCCCCTTCATTTTAAACCGTTCAGAGGACGGTCTCTTCCTGAATCCACTGATTCGGAAGGGGCTAGTAATTAGCCCTTCTGGAAAAAAAAAAAAAAAAAATCCAGTGTTTCGTTGGAACAAGCACCTGGATACTGCTAGGGCCCTCTCTTTTACCAGCAAAACAGCTCCCCCAGGCGCTCCTGGCACCCACACGCCCCAGGGACCCGCGAAGCAAACTGATCTCAGAGCGCCCCCAAAGTGGCCCGGCATCACCCACTTTACCTGGGCGATCCTGAGCCCCTCCCCTGCCTTCCCCTCCCCGCGCCTCCGCCCCCTCCAGCCACAGCCGTCGCTGTTCCTTTAACTCGGCTTGCCCGGGAGTGTGAGCCGGGCCAGGTCCTCCCGCCTCCTTCCCCGCCGCTCCCTCCCCCCTCCCATCGGAGTTTCAGGTGAATGGGTCACGGAGGGAGGAGGCCGGCTGCGCCACACCTTGTCGCTCGTGCCCACCTCCCGCTCCCTCCTTCCCCAGGCGACGGCGGTGGAGTTGAAGGACAGCGGTCTAGCACACGACCGGACAGCCGGCTCGGGGCGCCGCAGGTGGGTCCCGAGCGCGCGGCCCCGGCGGGCTCGGCCCGAAATTGGTGCGCATGCCCGGGGGCGGGGGATGGGGAGGACCGGGCTCCCGGCTGTGCGAGCCGGCGGCTGGCAGCGCGCGGCGGCAGGTGCGCCCGCCAGGTGAGCGCTCGGGCTTCCCGCCGCCCAGGTGGCCCGGGCCTTGGCGAGTGGGTGCGAGGCAGGTGCGGCGCCGCGGGTCCCTTCCCCCAGGGCGACAACGCTGCGGCTGGGGGCGCGGGGAGGGCGCGCGGAGCTAGTTTCGGTGGCAGTTTCGCCCTGGACTTGGGGCTCGCGGGAACCCGAGATGCGCGGGTACCTGAGCGCTGCGTGGGAGGATTTCCGGGTGGGGGCTCGGAGCTGCGGGAGAAACCCTCTCCCACCACAAATGCCCGGGCAACTTTCTGCTAATCCAGAGGCGGGCGCCTCGTGGGCGGATCCATCGCTCAGCTAGGGCGCTGGAGACATGCGGGCTCTCGGGGTCCCCAGTTAGGGCTGGAGAAGGACGACGCCGGGCGACTTAGATCCCCGTGGCCCTCCTGGTTTCCGCACTTTTGGGTAATTGATTCTGGCGGAGGGGGAAGCCGGGGGTCTTTTGCAGTGTGCCCAGAATCTAGGGCGCATATCACCCTGGTTGTTTGGAACAGGGGGCGGTGCGTGCGCCCTTGTTGATTTCAGCTCTCCGAGTTCTTTTCGAGGGAGGCTGGATTTCGAGGGAAGCTGCTAACGCAGTGGATTCTCATCCGTGACCTGCCCCGGGGCAGAGCCTGCTCTGCCTCCCTGAGCTGGCCCGGCTGTTCCCGAGCGCAGAGCCGCCGTGGGGCGCGCGCACGATCGCGGGGACACGTAGCTTGCCTAGGCTGCCCACTTTGCAGACATCTCCGGCAGTGCTGACCCCGCGAGTCCATCAGCGAGTGGCCTGCGTTGGAGGAAGTATGCAGAGACGAGTGGGTGGGGACCAAAATGGCTTCTGAATCTTGTTCGCTGAAACAACTCTGAGCCCCTTGCGTCCCAGGTGGAGTGACTGAACCTAGCCGGAGCGGAGGTATCCTCAGGCCTGCTCCTGGCTCATCGGGCAAAGTGCCACTAGGGGAATTACCTGGGGCGGGGAGGAGGCAGCTTTCCAGGCAGGTTAGTAGTGTGTGGCTCTCGGGCACAACAGGTGTGTTATGGGGATCCCAGCAAAAGAGAAAATTCCCCAGTGCGGCGCCTTCTGGTGATGCTCTCTGTGGTTGGTGGGTTGTTAAACTACATATCCCTGTGTGTAACCGTAGGTTCCTTAAATTTCCACAGATGGTGGGTTTTCTCTTTTCTTTGGATTTATGTGCTTGTTAATGCTTCCTTTGTTAGGTGATGCCATGGCGAGGTTAGCAAGCTAGGTTTGGGAGGGGAGAGGTACTCTGCATGAGGTTCTTTGTTAAAAGCAGATCCTACTAGAACTTCATCTTAAGGGTTGGGGCGTGGGGTGTGGTTCCGAGGTAGTCCAAGGTTGGAGTCTCAACAACCAACCAGCCACCACCCCCAACCCCAAAACAAAATGCCTCAAAATTTACATCAGGCAGGATACAGAAAACTTAAGTCAAACCATAAGGACTAGTTCACTGTGGGGAATTCAGAGGCACTTTCCAATCCAGCCCATTTTGTACCACTTCCACCATTAAAATGGAGAGAGAGAGAGAGAGAGAGAGAGAGAGAGAGAGAGAGAGAGAGAGAGAGAGAGAGAGAGTGTGTGTGTGTGTGTGTGTGAGTGAGAGAGAGAGAGATATTGCGATTTGCTCATTGAGCAATTTTGCACTCTGGTGAGTATAGTTCAGGGCTCCGTCTTCTGCTTTGCTATGTACTCTCAACTCCCAAACAACTTTTGTTTTAGTTTTTAATCTTTCTTGGCTATTGTTTGGGGGCACCTAGTTTGTTTTTCCTTTTCTGAAGTACTTGTGACTTGTAGATTGGGATGGGGCCTTTTATTCTGCCTTTCTAACAAGCTCACAAGTTAAGCCTATACAGCCCCCCCACTTCCTTTATCTTAGAATGTAAACATGGACTTTCAATACTGCCCTCAATTTGATACATTTACTGTTAATTTATGTAGTTCAAGATATTCACTGCTGGACTGAAATTTCAACTCAGTAATACTGAGCATCGGCTGTATTAACCAAATATTGGTGGACTGTCCCTTTGTGCTGATGACCCACAAAGGGGTCAGGGACGTATATGGGTGCATGTGGCGCTCTCCTGTTCCTCCTGGGGTGGAGGAAAATTACTGAATGGTCTGGAGAGCATCTCTGAGATTATATGTGAACTGTGAGCTGCACTTGGGGACTTGACTAGTATCTGACAGGATCCTCCATGGGGGCTGGGCTTAGTGTTGCAGAACTTGGGAGGCAGAGGCAGGCGGAGCTCTGTGAGTTCTAGGACAGCCGGTGCTGTAAACTGAGCTCCTATCTCAAAAAGAAAAAGAAGTTAAGTTTGGAGGCTGGAGAGATGGATCAGTGGTTAAGAGCATGTGCTGGTCTTCTAGAAGACCTGGTTCAATTCCCAGCAACCATGTCAGGTTCACAGTTGCCCCCAGCTCCTGGGGCATCCAACTTCTCCAGCCTCTTTGGACACCTGCACTCACATATTTTTGCCTAAACACAGATATATACACATGACTAAAAGTAATAAATCTTTAAAAAATTTCCTCTTTGGGATACTGGGAGATGGCTCAGTGGGTAAAGGCACTTGCCAGCAAGTCTTATTTTACTTGAGTTTGATCCATGAGCCCCACATGGAGGGAATAGAATGTCCTCTGAGTTCCTCATGTGCCATGAGACATGAATGTAAATTAATTAATACAAATAAGATTTAAAATGTCCTCTTTGAAGCTGGGGTTGTAATTCAGGGGTAGGCTGCTTGATTAGCATGTATAATGTCCTAGGTTCAATTCCCAGCAGGAGGAAAAATCCTACTTGGATTCCTTAAATATATATAGGTTTTTTTTTAAAGTCCTTGTTTTTTATTTATTTTACTTTATATGAATGTTTTGCTTGTATGTGTATGCACATGTTTGTCTGTTGGGTCACTGAAACCAGGGTTACTGATGGTTGTGAGCCACTGTGTCAGTTCTGGGAATTGAACCCTGATCTTCTTCAAGAATAAGTGATTTTAATCGCAGAACTCTCTTTCCAGACTTTAGAGAGAGATTCTTAGTATATTACTTTAGATTTTGTGATTTTTTGTTGTAGCCCCCAACTCAGAGATCCTCCTGCCTCTGCCTTCCAAGTGCAGGGATTAAAGTCATGCACCACCACAATTAGCTTTAAAAAAAAAAAAAAAAACGAAAAACATGTACATGTATATGTACGTACCTACCCACCCACCCACACACACTGAGTATTAGCTGGAAATGCTGGTTTTCCATGTAACACACTATGTAAGGATCTGTTGTCTGTCTGTCCTCCATTAGCTAACATAGCTGTGGGTCTTCTGGCCCTGCTTATCTCTGTACTCTTGGAATGAAAGTAACAGTGGGCCCCTTAGGCCAAATCCTGGAGGCCTTTTCACTCCATTGATTTTTCTCCCTTTCACTGATCATTTACTTACTGTAGAGCAGGGCCGTGCTCTGTAGCTGCTGGCTAAAAATAAGTCTTTGTCACTGACTTAGGAACCTTGAAGTGAAGTCTCTAAAGTAATACTAAGTAACTCCTGCCTGTGAGCAGGAGCTCAAATGGTTATTTGTTATTCCTGGAGGGGTGGAGTCAGGGCCTAGGGGAGACTTCCCACGCTGAGATGAAGTTTGACCTTGCAGTTTTGGGTGTTTTGTTTGTTTTGGTTTTAACCATTTCTAGGACTACAAAGACAGTCTTAAAATGTTTCAGGGCTTTTAAAGTAGTCTAATAGGACATTAAAAACTGTCTAGTTCTCCAGGACAAGCGGTTGCTGTTTTCCATTTATTTTCTTAAGGCATGTTGTTTGTTTGTTTATTAAAGACCCTGAACTGTTTCCTCCGGGATCTGTACCCAGGGTGGAACCTGATGTACAGATTTGTATTTTGTTTCTTTTCCTTTTCAGGGATAGGGCTGGGATCCAAGGTCACTGAGCTGAGCTCTAGCCCAGCCCTTGTTGGTCCCTTCCCAGCATTCCTAGATATGAACACTATTTCTGAGTGCTGTCTGTCTGTCTAAGATTTGGATAGCCTTTGCTAAAATTCTTACCAAAGCAAATGTACTCTTTGCAGGGGTAGGGAGCGTGCCCCTAGGAATGAACGCATGCCAAGTCGGATCGATCCCCTTTCTCCTGGATTCTCATGGATTTTTACGAATTAAGTTGTTCATTCATTCATTTTCTCTGTCTCTCCTGCCAATCTCAGCCTGTCAGTTTTCAGGGAAGTAAGCAATGGCAAAACCTCTGGGCTTCAGCAGCAGGTTTACTGTCTTCATTTTATTGGTGCTGGGTGTTGAACTTGGGACCTTATGATTGACAGCCACTGCCCTACACCCGCAGTCCTGAGTGAACATTTCCAAGTGACTTACTCATGTCTCCAAACACCAGAGTGCCTGAGCACTTTGCTTTGCTTTGCTTTGCTGACCCCAGCCAAGGTCAGGGCTATGCGCCCCCCCCCCCCCCTTTGACATCGATAAGTGTCTGGAGCTCAGAGAGCCTGAGGAGGTTGTTGCTTCTGAGCTAATGAATGAACCGGACTGCTGGAACCTGCCACTACTCTGTGTCTTCAAAGTCATTCTGATCTCGCAGAGACCTGGCTGGTTCTGGAGGGATTACTCGCCCTCCCTCAGCTTATTAGTTATTCTTCCCACTGTTGGGTCAGCTGCAGTTCTGGATAACCTGGTCTGTGGTTGCCACTAGAGACCTCACTCCAGGTGAACATAAATAGCCCATTCTTGTGTTAATTAGATGCTGTTATTTAACTCCTTGGGACTCTGCCCAATCCTCCAAGTTTATATTCCAGATTCCCTGGATTCTTTCTTTGTGCCCTAGCCTGGTAACTTCCTCCAGAAGAGAAACCAAGGTGTGGCAAGTACTGTTACAATCCTTTCTAAAATCCTTTCACAGTTTAAAAGTCCCTGCTCCTGGAGGAAATGTGACAGCCAAACTCCAACCTCTAGGAAATAACACTTAGAAAAGGGATCTTGTTTGAATTTCTGACTACTAAAGCTTGAGTTGGAATTAATTTAGTTGATTTGTTTTTTTTGGGGGGAGGGTCAGGGTTTCTTTCTGTAACAGTCCTGGCTATCATGGAACTTGCTTTGTAGGTCAGGCTGCCCTTGAACTCACTGAGATCCCCCTGCCTTTGGCTCCCAAGTTCTGGGATGAAAGGCATGGGCCACCACCACTCCGCTAATTTAGTTTTTAATAACTGAACTGTGCCTGGCATTTGGGGGTAGTCGTTATCACCCCCCTTCTTTTCTTTGAGACAGGGTCTCATTATGTAACCTTAGCTGCTGGGAAACTTGCTCTGTAGACCAGGCTGGCTTTAAACTCATAGAGATCCTCCTGCCTCTGCCCTCTGAGTGCTGAAATTGAAGGCCTGCGTTACCATACCTGGCTTGCCTTTTGTGTTTTAAAAATGATTTATATATTAATGTGTAGGTGTGTGTGCCAGAATACGTTTACACACACACATGTATGCAGGTACCTGGAGAAACCAGAGAGAGTGCTGGGGTCCCGGAACTAGAGTTACTCACACTTGCTGCCTGATGGCGGTTGCTGGCAACCAAACCCATGTCCTCTGCAAAAGCAGTAAGCCCTCTAAATCGCTGAGCCGCTGTCTCTCTAGCACCTTGTGTGGGTTTTTGAGTCCGTCTTGTGCTGAAGCCCAAGTTGGACTTAACTTGTAGCCCAGCTACCTTGAGTTCATGGAAATCCTCCTGCCCCAGTCTCCCAGATGCTGAGATTTCATAGGTGAGCCGCCATTCCTGGCTTTGGGGGTAGTCCTGAGTGACTGAGCAGTAGGCATAGAAGGTCTAAGATTCCTCTGAGGTCAGTATTTGTCACTATTGCCATCCAGCCTCAGATATAAGGTCTTACATTCAATAATGTTTAAAGCTTTCCCTTAATGGTTTCTTTCCAAACACGCCTTTCAAAGCCCCATTTTTGGCTTAAATTGTTCATCTTTATTTCAGCATGAGCTGAAGAAGTCGGCTGTGGTCTAGTGACAGGGCTGCACACAGGAGTCATGTGTGTTTGTTGTACGCCGGCAAAGTGGTAAAAAAAAACAGACGACTAGGAGTTACTTCCGGACTGCTGCCTCTTGCTGTTTACACCCCCCCCCCTTTCTTAAAAAAACAAAACAAAAGTGAAGATGTTGTCTTTCCTGTGCTTGCCGCCTGTGTTGGTATTACCTGGATTTCCATCTTGGGGCTTTTGTCTAATATACAGAGTTTTATTTTGAGATTTGGAATCTGACTGTTGGGTGACATAGAATTGCTGGGTAGCTTACATAACACATTTAAAAAGTTTAAATTGATTTACTGCTCCTGTTGGAGTAATGGACAACTTGTATAAGACTTCATTTGAAAATGAAAACAAACTTTACTTCAGTATATTCAGGTCGTTGTTTTTTTTTGTTTGTTTGTTTGTTTTTTTTTTTTTTTTTTTTTTTTTTGGTTTTTCGAGACAGGGTTTCTCTGTGGCTTTGGAGCCTGTCCTGGAACTAGCTCTTGTAGACCAGGTTGGTCTCGAACTCACAGAGATTTGCCTGTCTCTGCCGCTGGAGTGCACCTTCACCTTCACCACCTGGTTTTGTTTTGTTTTGAATCACCTTCTCTCTGGAAGCACACAAGATTTTGCAGGCAGAGGTATCTATGGTCCACTCTGTTCCATGGAAATATTGAGCAAATATTTGCACGTCTACTGTGTGCCGGGTGTTTTAATCGGCGAACAACGGGCAAAAACTCCTGTTCACATGGAGTTTACCTAGTGGATCTAAAGTTCTTTTCCTTGCTAATCAATTACTAGTGTTGCCTGGAAAGAACTTCCTGCTGCTTCCATATACCCTACTGGAGGGACAGGAAGTGCTGAAAATTGTAAAACTGAAGTTCATTTGTTTGTCTTAGACTCTCTGATAGTGGAAAGGGCAGGAGATGTGGGCGAGGCTGCATCTCAGTGGCTCACTGGCTTCTTCAGCTTTGAGCAAGTGACTTCCCATGTCTTTCTGATTCTTTCTGGGTTTGTAAAACGGATAAACGGTGGTTTTGAGCCCGAATTGGAATTTTGTGCACAGTGAGGCACATGGGTAGGTAACAGTTCGTGGTTTTCCTTTCTCTCTTGGCTCCTCAGCCCGAGTGCTTCATTACTTAAAGGGCTTTGTCACTGTAGCTCCATGGTGCCCTCTTCTCAGTCCTAAGTTCTTCCTACGTCCACTGCTGAGAATCAAAACTGCTTTCCTTTTCTTACCTGAGTAAGGTAGCAGGCTATCTCCAGACTTTCCAGGCACTTTGTACCCTCATCATAATCTTATTTTAACAAATTAACATGTCCATACATGGTCTCCTCTCTGGCCCATAAACTACACATGACCCCCACGCGTCAGCACCTAAGCAGCCTGGATGCCCATCCTTCCTCCCAAGACACCAGCTGGTGCTACTCATCTTCACGGCTCCCTGCTTACCCCTTACCACGTTGGCCACATAGTTCAGCCTGAAGAAGTTGCTATTTTGTGTGTGTCCCATACTTCCACAAGCTCCTCCTTGTAGTCAGGCCCTTGAAAGATGCATGTTGATGGCATGAAATGGCCTTTCAGATATGCAGACACTTCTGCTTTAGGGAATTCAAGAACAAAACTACTCTGCTTTTTCTCTTATGGAAGGACTCTTTAAGACATGTTTCTTGTTTTCTTCTTTTGAAAGAATGACATTTTGGAGACTTAGAGAAGGAGATAAGAGAATGGGATGACTCGAAATCATACCATCTGTGCCTATATCTTGTAACCTCCCTCCCTCCCTCCCTCTCTCCCTCTCTCCTTTCCCCCCTGTCTTCCCAAAACAGGCTTCTCTGTGTAACAGCTCTGGCTGTCTGGGAACTCCTTTGTAGACCAGGCTGGCCTTAATTTAACAGTTATCTTCTTGCCTCTGCCTTCTGAGTGCTGGGATTAAAGGTGTGCACCACCAGGCTTGAATCACTTTTAATAAGGGCATACTTTAGTTAATTCTGAAGAACTAACAGGTGCTAGACACTGTTATATTTTCATTTTCATATGCATTCCCATCTTACATGAGCATTTAAAGGTAATAGGAATTTTTTTTTCAGTGTTAGGTATTGAATCTAGGACACTGTACATTCTAGGCAAATCCTCCACCACAGAGCTACAGTTTTCAGCTTTTTGTTGTTTTTTGTTTTGTTTTTGAGAAAGGGTCCTACTATGTTGCCTAGGTTGGTCTCCAATTTGAGACCCTTTTGTCCCAGCTTCCTAAGTAGCTAGGGTTTCTGGTATGTACCCGTGTACCTGGCATTACAATTATTATTAGTATTTATTTTAAAAAATTAAGGGGCTGGAAAGAGAGAAGGCTCAGCAGTTAAGAATACTGGCTGCTCTTCCAGAGGTCCTGGGTTCAATTCCGAGCGCCCACATGGCAGCTCACAATTGTCTGTAACTCCAGTTCTAGGGAATCCAACACCCTCACACAGACACACATGCAGGCAAAATACCAGAGTACAAAAAATAAAAGTAAATCATTAGCTGAACCTTGTGGCATATGCCTTTAATCCCAGTACTCGGGAGCCAGAGGCAAGTGGATCTTTGTGAGTTCGAGGACAGCCTGGTCTACAGTGTAAGGTCTAGGACAGCCAGGGCTACACAGAGAAACCCTATCTTGAAAAGACAAAACCAAATCAAAGCAAAACAAATAAAATTAAAAAAGGTAAATTATTAAATTTTTGAAAATGAAACATTTGAGAGAAAGTGTGTGCGCGTGTGCGTGTGTGTGCGCGAGTGTGCCATGACACACGTGTGAAAGCAAGAGAACTTCCAGGATTTAGTTTTCTGTTTGCGATAAGTGTATTCCGGGGATTGAACCTGAGCTCACCAGACTTGGTGGAAGACGCCCTTATCTACTGTGCCATCTTGCTGATCCCAAGTAATTAATTTTGTGAAAGAAATCCTTCCCGTCTCTCCCCCTTTTTTCTTTATCTTTTTGAGACAAGATCTCACGCTAACCTCAAATTTGTTTTTTTCTGTATGTTTTTGTTCTTGGTAGTGGCTATTTCCCTTCTATGTTATAAAATGATGTGAGTGCAGTACCATTTCCAGGAGCAATGTGATTTTCTGTTCCTAAGGAATTGATGGTCCGTCTGTCACAGGGAGATTGGCGTCTTTATGCTTGTTTGTGGTGCAAACTCCTCTGGCCTCAGTAGTCACTCCATCGACCCACTGTTGTTGCTTAGGTTTGCTTATCTCGGAGCCTTGAAGTCTTACTCATCATTAAGATCCGGTGACCGGTGACATCAGCCATGTCTGTGAGGCCCTTTGAAAGTCCTCCTCCCTACCGACCTGATGAGTTGTAAGTAGATGACTATTCTATTCTTGTTCTCTGATGGGGCCTGCTACATGTAAAAGAAACTTCCACCCATTATTTGCTTTGAAAAATTAAGTCAGGGGGTTAGGGCTGTAGCTCAGCAGTACAGCCCAAACCCTTCCCCGGTATCAAACCCCTTCCCTCACGGACACCACCCACCACTCTTGGGCTAGCATGCATGAAGTGGTGGCTGCATAAAAGCCAGGCTTGTTGGCACACATCTTAATCCCAGCATTGAGAAGGTGGAGGCAGGGGGGTCCACAGTTCATCTATATGATGAGATTGAAGCCAGCCCAGGCTACATTCCATTTTGTCTCAAGACAACAAACAAACAAACTAACTAACTAACTAACTAACTAAGCCCAGGGTGATGTAACTAACTAAGCCCAGGGTGATGTTCACACTTGCAAACGTAGTACTTGGGAGGCAGAGACAGAAGGGTCACCACAAGTTTGAAGTAGTCTGGGTCTGTATATGGACTACAGGCTAGTTAGGGCTATGTGGCGAGACTGTCTCAAACAAACAAACAAACAAACAAACAAACAAACAGTCTGAACAATTTTTGTAGTTTATGATGTGAATTGTACCAAAGATTTACAATGAAAAGTGAATTTCCATCTTATGTATAACTTCCAAAATGACAGTTTTTCCCTGTAGAGGCAACTACACTATCCATTTCTAGTATTTGCCTCAAGATATTGTCTTAGGGCTAGGCGTGGTAGCTCATGCCTTCAATCCCAGCACTTGGAAGGCAAAGCCAGATATCTCTCTGACTTTGAGGATGGCCAGGGCTATGTAGAGAGACTTTACCTTGAAGAACAAAGGAGGTTAACACCCACCAAGTTACTGTGTAAGGCTCAAAGTTCTTAGATTTAGTTTGGTCAAATGTCAGTGGCTCTGATACAAGTTGTCAATTTATGATTAGGTTACTGGAGTGTGCAGAGTTGTTTTTATTATGGAGATTCAGAATCCAGCCGAACATTCCCTGAGGAGCTCTTAATGTATATAATTGGTTTGCTTTGCCACTCTTGATTAATTGACCATAGATTATGGAGTGATTTGCTCAATATTTTACTCCTTGATTAATGGCCATATAATACATGTTATATATAACATGTGTAATGCACACACACATTTCTTTTTGATGGTCTTGGGGATTGAATGTAGGGTTCCACCTCTCAGTGTACAGTGTTCCCCCTTTCTGGTCTAACTTACCCGTCTCCACTGCCAAGCACAGTGCCCAGCATAAGCCTGCCTGATAATTCCAGCAGCAGTCGTCAGCCTTCCAGGAACCAGTGAATCAGTGGGCTTTCCCATAAAGAAGAAGGAGACTGCTAGGAATCACGCAGGACTCCTAGTAGGCTGGTGTGGGTGTTGTGTTTAAATGCACTTACCTTGTGCCGCACAGACAAAACAAAGCTTGATACCATTGTTCTAAAGCTATGTGATTTCACTGATTAGATGTGCAAAATCAATTTTTTTTTTCCTCCAGTGCTAGGGGTGGGACCCAGAAACATTTTGTTCACTGTGCAGTACTCTACCACTGTGTCACAACCCCAGCCCCATTGCCTGATATTTTACACATTTCCAGATGATCTTTACATGGAGCAAATTTTGGAGAACCTTTGCTCATTAATGTCCTAGAGTAGTCATTGTCAAGTATGTTTCCGAGACCTGCATCAGCTGGAAACTTGACCTAGCATAGACTTGTTCTCTACAGATTCAGCCGCCCCCTCCCCCTTCAGCGGGACATTTAAAATAGTTTCATCAATGTGGCTAATTTTATTCCAAGCAGTCTTTAACTTGGGGTCTTTTTATTTGCCCTTCAGCAAACCCAATCATTATGCACCAAGCAATGACATGTATGGTGGAGAAATGCACGTTCGGCCAATGCTCTCTCAGCCAGCATACTCCTTTTACCCAGAAGACGAAATTCTTCACTTCTACAAATGGACGTCGCCTCCGGGAGTGATTCGGATCCTGTCTATGCTCATTATTGTGATGTGCATTGCCATATTTGCCTGTGTGGCTTCCACACTTGCTTGGGACAGAGCCTATGGGACTGGCATCTTTGGAGGAAGCCTAGGCTACCCTTATGGAGGAAGTGGCTTTGGTGGCTATGGAAGTGGCTATGGCTATGGTTATGGCTATGGTTATGGCTATGGAGGGTATACAGATCCAAGAGCAGCAAAAGGTTTCCTGTTGGCCATGGCAGCCTTTTGCTTCATTGCCTCCTTGGTAATATTTGTTACCAGTGTTATAAGATCTGGAATGTCCAGAACAAGAAGATATTACTTGATTGTGATCATAGTCAGCGTTATCCTGGGCATCCTGGTGTTTATTGCCACAATTGTGTATATAATGGGAGTCAACCCAACTGCCCAGGCTTCTGGATCTATGTACGGTTCCCAGATATACGCCATATGCAATCAGTTCTACACTCCTGGAGGTACCGGACTCTATGTGGATCAGTATCTGTATCACTACTGTGTGGTGGATCCCCAGGAGGTATGAGCAGTTTTTATTCTTTCCCATACCCTGTCCTTCTCTCCATAAGATTAGAGATACTCTGTTACGAGCAGTTTCCCGCCTGGTTCCAGTGCCACATTAGTCCCAAAATAACACACAGGGACTCTATAGTTATAGAGCTGTTGGCCAATGGCTAGAGATTCTTACTGGCTAGCTCTGTCTTAAATATTAACTCATTTCTATCAATCTAAGTGTTTCCACATGGTCTTAACAGAGAGAGAGAGTGTCCGGACCTTATTCCTCTCTACTACATCTCCCAGAATCCTCCTTGTCTCCTAGTCCCACCTATCTTGCCTTCTTATTGGCCAACAGTACTTTATTCACTAACCAATAAGAAAAACATATTTATAGAATGATGTCTCCCATCAATACTCAACTGTAGGTACTCAGTTAGAATAGTCAATATGGGAAACATTTTTAAAAAATATGTCAAGGCCCTACTTTTAATTGTGCATAATGTTGGGGAAGGGACTGGATGTCACTGTTAAGTCATAGTTAAGATTCAGTATATTTCTACCTATTTAAAGAATACCTCAGTGGTGGCACACACCTTTAATCCCAGCACTGCAGAGGCAGGCAGATCTCTGTGGGTTCGAGGCCAGCTGGTCTACAGAGGGAGTTCCAGGACAGCTAGGGCTACACAGAGAGACCCTGTCTTCAAAACAAAACAAAACAACCACAAAAAATCATAACAAAAACAAACAAAACAAAACCCAAAGCCAGCCAACCAACCAAACAAAACCAAACCTCAGTGGTTTGTTACGTAGTCACAGAATTATGTAAGCACCACCACAATTGTGGAACATTTCCACTGTCTCCCAAGGAAACTTCTGTGTCCATTAGCAGTTGCTCACCATCTTCTTAACCCACTCTGGGCAGCCACTACTCTTTCCTTCTGGGTTTGCCAAGTCTCTGGTGTTTCATGAGTTTCCATAGTATAGGGTCTATAGTTGGCATCTTTTACTTAGCATGATTATTTTTTTAAAGGTTTATCTGTGTTTTTGTCATGTGGAAGTCCCGTATTTCTTCTTATCGATGAATGATTTAAGAGCATATGTCACATTTTATCGACCCATCAGTTCATGAACATTAAGGCTGCTTCCCTCATTGTCTGTTGTTACTCGTGTTATTCTGACCCTGAAGGTACAAGTCTTCGCGTGACTCTTACTATGTCCTGAGTTGTGAGTGTGCCTGCAGGTAGAGTTGGTGAGCACATGGGACTCTATCTAACTTTTTTAGGTCCTGTCAGTTTCCCGAAGAGGTTGAGCCATTTTGCAGTCTCTCCAAAAATGTATGAGGGTCCTGACCATTCTCCACCCTCACCAGAGCTTGTTATTGTCCGTGTGTCTGATGCTAGTCATGCTCATGGGTGTGAAGTGGTACTTCGTTATAGGTGGCTTTTTGGTGTCTGTTTTTTTAAAAATAGGGTTTTGCTATGTATCCCAGGCTGTCCTTGAACTCACAGCTATCCTGCTTTAACATTCTTGGTCCCTAAATTATAGGTGTGCTCCTATGCCCTGCTTATGTTTTGATTTGTTTTTCCTTGATAGCCAGTGGTACTGAGCATATTTTCATGTATGTAGTGGGCATTTATCATCATTAAATGTTCAGAATCTTACTTTTAAAATTGGCCTGTTTTAAGTGTTTATAATGGGCATACAAAAGTTTCTTATGAATGATGTTTTAAGTCTTTATAGTAGGCGCATACATCTCTTATGAATGATTTGTAAATATTTGTAATTTTTCCATCCTTTTAAGGTTTTTTTTTTTTTATTCTTTACACAAAACTTTTTAGTTTTGATGGATTCTCATTTGTCTGATTTTTCTTTTGTTGTTTTTTCCTTTTGATATCAAATCAAAGAAAGAAAATGTTCTCCATAAAAGTTGCCTTTTGTTTTTTTTTTTTTTTAATTAACCCGCCCCCTCCACTTTGGAGCCAGGGTCTTTCTACATAGCCCACATTGGCCTGCAACCTCAGCCCTTTGAGCTCTGTAATTACAGGTATGTGAACTATCTTCCCCAGTCCATCAAAGTGAGTTGACTGTATGGGTGATGGTTACAACGCATGCATGGAAAGCTTGCTTACCATGCACAAGGCCCTGGTCAGACATTTGGAACTGGAGCTGGTTCAGTGGGCAGAACATACTGGCACAGTTATGAGGACTTGAGTTTGGACCCCCAGAACCCAAGCATGGTGGGTGTGCACATGTAACCCCAGTGCTGACAGATGAAATAGGCAGCTCCTGGGCGTTTACTGGCCAGCCAGTCTAGGTGAGATGTCAAGCTCCAGTTTCAGGGACAGACCGCTTCTCAGATAATGAAGGATGATAGAGGAAGGTACCTGCTATTGACCTTTGACCTCCTTTCATAGATAGGCATGCACATGTGTTGGTGAGCATTCCCTGTGTTCACACATAAGTGGTACACTCTTGCAACACAGAACACACACAAACATTTATTTTTGGCGTCTCATTTGATTCCCTTAATCTGTGTTTCTGTCCTTACAGCCAAACCACACTGTCTTTATTTTACTGTTATAGTAAGTTTTGAAGTTGTGAAGTATGGATTTTCTAGCTATTGTCAAAATTATTTTGACTAGATTCTGTGTTTTTTCATTTCCATCTGATCTCTAGGATCACCCTTAGGATAGCACTTGGGCATGGTATGGTACGTTCTAGTTTTTGTAAGCCACCTGCTAGGTCTTTGAAGAGTTGCTCCAAATCTGTAAATCAGTTTCAGGAAATTTTGTCATCATTGCAATTGGAAGTCTTCTCTTTCTTTCTTTCTTTCTTTCTTTCTTCCTTTATTTCTTTCTTTCTTCTTCCCTTCCTTTTTTCTTTGGTGGGGGGGGTTGGATTTTTTTTTTTAAGACAGGGCTTCTTTGTAGCCCTAGAATTCACATTATAGACCAGGCTGGCCTTGAACTCACAGAGATCCACCTGCCTCTGACTCCCTAGTGCTGGAATTAAAGGCATGCAACAACCATTGCCCAGGGCAGTTTTAAGTCTTCAAATCAATGAACATAGGATATCTTTACATTTTTTTTTCTTGAATTCGGTAGTTTCCAGAGTGCCGGTTCTTTTTTGTCCAGGTCATTCCATGTGTTTTGAGGGCATAAAACCCTACCTTAGGAAACTTGAGTCACCTTAATTACACGAAACCACAGATAGCTGCTGCTGCTGCATTCTTTCCCCTGAATGAGTCACCGTGTTGGGCTAGACTCTCTCCACTGTCTACCTGTCTGTATTTTGAAGATGGGGTGCTTTCCCAGCTGGTGCAGGTTTTCGGGTGCTCACTGTTACTGTTCAGACCAGCCTGTGGTGAGTGCCGAGACCTGGTAGAAAGGGTATGCCTATCTCATCATACTCGGAATCCTCTGGCTACTTGAAACCTATATTCTTTGAAAGAGGGTGTCACTGTGAGGGAGACAGTGGGTAGGAGAGCCTACTGTCACCCATGAGTAGGTAACTGGTGCTGGCCTCATATTCAAGTGTGCCCCGACCATTGTACCACTAATGCATCTGCCAGACACTGGAGGAGCCATCAGGAGGAGGAGGCTTCGCTGTCACAAGGCATTGCAAGCAGAGGAGCCTGCTAGATAAAAGCAATCACTTGTTCATTTGCTCTAATTTATAGGTTGGTAGGTTCATGCTTTTATCATTTATGTTAACACTGATCCCCTACGGCCCTCCTTTCATACAGTATAAAAAGAGCTGCCAAGCATGTGTCATGAACAGGGTTATAGGTGTAACTGAGTATCTAAAGCTACTTCTGAAATTAGCAGTTTTCAGAGCCTTTAAAAGTAAGATATTGAGGCTGGGCATAGGTTTGTAATCTTAGCACTGGGGATGTGCAGGTAGGAAGACCAAGAGGTTAAGATCATTTTTAGCTACTTAGGGTTTGAGGCCAGCCTGGGCTATTTGAAACATTGTCTCAAGAAAATTAAAACAAACAAACAAAAAACTCATTGATTTCATTATTGGCTATTTTCACTTATTTTTAACAATGTGGCAGCTACAGAGGTACATATATTCCAGAACCCATTTCCTGTGATTCTGAAATGTGTACTGATGGTTTTGCCTTTAAGCAGGGTTTGAGCGAGGAGTCAGTTGGTATGTGTCCATTTCTGTTCATGTGCAGCCAGGCATACTTTGCCACTGTTTTGTTAGCTTTAGTCCAGTTGGTATGGGTTAGTTTTTAATGACAGAACTAATCTGTAGCAATTTAGTTTTGTTCCCATTAAACCACAACTATTCAGGCCCTCTGGTAAAAGTTCTAGCTCCTAGAAGGTGAATTTCAATTAAAGCAATTAAAATTAATTGTGCCAATATCTTTCATCCCCTTGTAGGCTATAGCCATTGTCCTGGGGTTCATGATTATCGTGGCTTTTGCTCTAATCATTTTTTTTGCTGTGAAAACCCGAAGAAAGATGGACCGGTATGACAAGTCCAATATTTTGTGGGATAAGGAACATATTTATGATGAACAGCCTCCCAATGTTGAAGAGTGGGTAAGTGTAAACAAATCAAAACACTTTTAACCGTTTATTACATTTCCATCTTCTGTCCCTAATTGTTTTTGTATTTTGTTAAACTTCATGCTAAGAATGATCGTGTTTGCACAATGCGTGAGTTGTTTATTTATTTATTTATTTTTTTGCTCAGAACTTTTGAAAGATGGGTGAATGAAAATCACTTTTGTAAAGGGTGAAATCGTTTCTGTTTTCGGGGAGGAGACCCAGTCCCTGGAAGGGATGCCTCCTATGAAGTCACAGGGAAAGCTTGGCTTTTGCAGAGTGCAAGCAAGCAACTCTTCTCCACTCCTTTATTTCTTTGCTTTACTGTTTTGGAGACAACGATGTTGCCCTGGGGATAGGGGCGGCTGGGGTCAAGACTGGCAGAGGCATTTTGGGAATGGTGGCTTTGGTAACCTTCTCAGCTTTTTACACTGATAGCAGCATGGTTAACTGCAGTGACTCATTCTGCATCCCATTTACCTATCAAATACTTCAGTATGACAGAGATTACAGGAGTTTCTGTTTTAGGAGGGAAGGTAATATATTGTAAATCTTAGCATACTTTAGCCATGCAGTGGTGGTGCATGCCTTTAATTCCAACACTTGGGAGGCAGAGGCAGGCAGATTTTGTGAGTTCAAGGCCAGCCTGGTTTACAAAGAGAGTTTCATGATAGCCCGGGCTACACAGAGAAACCCCGTTGGATAAAACAAGAAAAAAAAAAAAAAAAAAAAAAAAAAAAGCCGAGTAAGCAAGGTGTCTGTGTGTGTGTGTGTGTGTCTGTGTGTGTGTGTGTGTCTGTCTGTCTGTCTGTGTGCGATGGCCTACTTCTTTACCCCTAGCACTCTGGAGGCAGAGGCAGGTAGATCTCTGTGGAAATAGATTTTGTTTCTGTTGGGATGCTGTGAAAAGCGGCTATAGAAACTTTTTTCTACTTTCCTTTAATGGTTTTCTTCAGTACTGGGGACCGAACCCAGGGCCTTGTGCTTGCCTGCCAGCAAGCTGTTTGCCACTAAATCCCTAGGCTTTAGTGCTTTCTCCGTGTATTGATCTTTGTGGGTTTGTGTGTTGTGAATTGTGTGTGTGTTCCTGCTGGTGAGTGCAGGTGTGTGTGCTTGTCGTAATCTGTGTGGCTGTCAGAGGACAGCCTCAGGTGTTGGCCCTCATCTGCCACTTCTGTGGAGCAGAGGCTCTCCTGATGCACCTGCCAGGCCAGTTTGCCCTGGGGCTTCCTGCGATTCTCCTATCTGTCTCCATCTTCCCTTAGAAGAGCTCCGATTACCACCTCTTCTGACTTTTATCTGGTTTCTGGGGATCTAAACGTATGTTCTTCCATGTCCAAGGCAAGGGCTTTACCCATCAAGCCGTCTCCCCAACCCCCCTATACTTCCCATTTTTGAGGTAGCATCTCTTTAACTTGCCCAGGCTGGACTTGAACGCACTCTGTAATCTAAGCAAGCCTCCCAAGTAGCCAGGATCCCAGGCCTTTACCAGCAGATCTGGCTCTAGCTACAAAAATTAATTGGGATTACTGGACCCTGGCTGACTCTATCTAGGGTAGAGTTGTGGCCACTGGCAATGGGGTATAGGAGGACTTCAAAAGAGCTGTTGGTTACTGATAAACTGAAGTGCCCTTTAGCTGTAGCATTCTAAATGCCTGAATTTTTAGGAAATCTACAAGCTTAGATAAAACTGTTTCTAGCTAGTGAAGAGGGGGGAGGGGAGGCAGGCATCTTAAGAAAACCAGAAAGGAGCAGCTTTTCTGCTGTGAGCAATGGTGCTAATCCCCTTCCTTAGGAAGCCGCTTCTCTGTGTGAAGCTGCCTTACAGGAAACATTCCTTGTCAATCTTTTAGCTCCCGTCGAGGCTACATGGACTAGGACAGTCCATTTTGGACTGTGAAGTAAATGTTTTCCCCAGAGTTTCTGGGTGTGTCGGTTTTCACTGGCTGTCGGATTTGTTTACATAAGGTTTCAAAGAGGCTTTACAAATAAATAAATAAACCAGCCTAAGGGAAACCAGCTCAGCACTATTAGAGTCACCGTGAACTTTAGCCTCTTGCCTGATCTACTATCAGGAGGGTTTAATCAGTTGTAAGTGTTTTGATAACTTGACAACAGGCAGCACCTCATGAAGTGGCAAGGAGGAGAAGGTAGTTCTTAGACAGGGTTTATGTGTAGCTCTGGCTGTCCTGGAACTCCCTCTGTAGACCAGGCTGGCCTCAAACTCACAGAGATCAGCCTGCCTCTGCCTCTTGAGTGCTGGGATTAAAGGTGTGCATTACTAACGCCGGGCAGGGGAGTTCTTTAAGAGGCATCACTTGTGGCTGCTGGAGTAGCCGGGTGGTAGACTACTTGCCTAACATGTACAAGGCCCTGGGTTCAAGCCCCAGCCCAATATACACACACCAAAAGGTATTAGTTTGTATGTAGTACCTTATCCTAAGTGACTTGGGTATTTTTGCCTCAAGCAGTTTGCTTTTTCTTCTCGTCTTCTTTGGATAGGTGGCCAAGATTTAGAATGGTAATAAGTTTCAGACCTGTGACAGTTTGCAGGACACACTGAATAACACTCACTTTATTCCCACCCCCATCCCTCGTCTTAGTGCCCTTGTCCCAGGGCTCCACAGTTACTAAGAGCCTCATTTCCCCCAGCACTGGAGACTTAACTCAAGGTCCCCCCATGTTTAAAAGCAAATTGTAATCCATACTCAGCACAAACAGCTACACTTTGTTGGGACGAAAAGGAGAAAGATTTACTGCTGCAGCTTCCTGGGGGCAGAGCTTTCGCTCTGCCTGAGGAGAGGGGCACAGGGAGCGAGAGATTGCATCGGGGCTGAACTGCAATGAGTAACTAGGTTCAGTGGAGTGAGTGCTACCTCTTTGGTCTTATTTTGTGAAAGTAAGGCCCCTGCCAGCTTATCGAAACTTTCTGCTTTTACCCTGCCTGTTTGACTTGATGAGGTATCTGGGTGAGTGTTCCTTACCACTCACATGGCCAGATGGTGTGATTATGGGTAAATTTCTCACTTTATATTGCAAACAGAGATGATAATAATAATAATAAAAACTCCTTTGTAAGCCTTTCATAAATATCTACAGTTACATAGGATAGATTCTCCACAGTAGTATTAGTAGGCTAATGGGTACGCATATGGAATCACATGAAACCAAGGAATTGCCAATTTTAAAGCAGCATCACTTGTAAATTGTATGGCCGTGGGGTTTAATTACCACACATTTACTTTTTTCCATTTCTGATTTTATTTAATTCTTTAAAAGTTAAAATATAAATTTTATCATTTTCCTCTTTCCCTCTTCTTCAACCCTTCATGTGTATTTCCCATCTCCCCATCCCCCCAACCCCCGAGAGTTTTGGTGGTAACATTGTCTTTGTGGACATCCATTAAGCCAAAACTAGTTCTATTGTTGCTATTAGGTTTTGTCAATTTTGGGTATTTTAAATACTGACTCGACTCTTGTTTGTGATAATTTCCTATAAGTTCTTAGTATAAAAAGGAATACTTTATAAAAGGTGGCGGAGGCAGGATGATCTCTCTGAGCCTGGTCTACATAGTGAGTTCCAGGTCAGCCAGGGCTATCTCTAAAAACCAAAAAAACGAAGAAGCAAACAAATGTAGGGACATGTGTGCGTGTGTGTGTGTGTGTGTGTGTGTGTGTGTGTGTGTGTGTGTGTGTGTGTTCCTGTGAGGCTGTATTGAGGGCATTGGATCAGGTGCTGGGCATGGAGCTCCCATTCCCTGAAAGAGCAACAAGTGCTAATAGCTAATAACTACTGAGTCTCTATAGCCCCTGTACCACATTTTCTTACTCATTGACTAGTTGATGGGCCCATAGGTTATTTGCATTTTCTTTAAGAACATTTTATTATAATTTTTATGCATATGGTGTTTTGCCTGAATGTATGGTTGTACACTATATGAATGCCGTGTGTCTGTAGAGGCAAGAAGAGGGTGTTGGACCCCCTGGAACTGTTGTAACCAGTGGTATGGGATATAGTGCTGGTGGTGGGAATCCAGGGTCCTGTCCAAGAGTAGCTCTTTACTGCTGAGCCGTCTCCTCTCCAGCCCCCTGTGCGTTTCTTGAATAGTGGGGGAGTAGATGTGGAAGTGTAGGTGTCCTTTTGGAGAACCCAGTGCTGTGTTTCTTGGCTCATGCTGTGGTTCTGTCGGTGAGGTGTTTTAGAAACTTCCATATTGTGTATTGTATGACTGTACAGATTTACTTTCCCAACAACTGTGCAAGAATTCCCTTTACTCCACACCCGTGCCAGCATTTGTCTCTGAGCAGCTTATCTCAAGTTACCTTGCTTTTAAAAGCTCTGCAAAATCTGCTAGCCGACTGCATGTGCAATTGCTCGTTTTCCACCATGTTTTCCTGGTCTGGATATTATCAGTCTTTAATTTCTGTCAGCTTTGTGAGTTTCGTTTCAAACAGTTTGAGATTAAGCAGGTTTGTCTGCCATTCATGGTCTCCTCACCTAAATAGCTCAGCTGAGTTTTCTTTGGATTGTTCTGTCTTTTCTTCCTGCCAGTCTCATATAAAGGTTATTATGTTAATATTACATGCTACATTCCCAGACCCTCCTGTGTCTTCAGTGTTCTTTTAGAGCCTATTCATTGAAGTACTATTGACAGGGCTCTCTCTCTCTCTCTGCGGCCCCCCCCCCCCCCCCCCCCCGTGTGTGTGTGTGTGTGTGTGTGTGTGTGTGTGTGTGTGTGTGTGTGTTCTTAGATCCTCCGTCTGTTCCTTTGTGGTTTCTGCTGTGCTTTGTTAAGAGTTTCCTCTTGTGTTTTGTGGGGTGAGGACCTAGATCCTCGAATGTACTAGATAAGCACTGTATACTGAGCCCGTCCCTAGCCTGTGGTGCTCTCTCTTGATTACAGTATGAAATAGGTCATAACTTCCCCCACATGACCAAGCACTTACACTGAACTTGTATCTCCTAAAAGCCTTCACTTTTTTTGCTGAAGGTT